CAATCACAATCCAGGTCTGGCTGAGGTTAGTGTGCTGGGGGCTGTCGATGCTTCTTCTGAGACATCTCAGCTGTACACGACCACTCTCGCCACTTTATCGTGAGGCTGTGAAGGAGATTAATTTCGAGGTGGCCGGCGGGCCGGGACATTTTATGCGAGAAAAGAAATTCTCCGATGCGAGAGGCAATCGCTTCAAAGGCGTTCGCCTCCTCTGCGAGGAGTCATAGGGACTTGTCCTCTGTGCGGGTGTCCATATTCAGGAATGCCTCCGGAGTCTTTGCATACACCTAAGTAATGGCTCGGCAGGTTGGGCACTCTTGGTGCAACGGGCGTTCCCCCTTAGCCTGCGGCAAATGCGGGTTCTGGGTACCGACGCCACAACGATCAGCTGAATTGGGGACCCAGATCAGACGAAGCATGCATGATGGTGAGGCGCAACCAGGCTGGGGATTAGAGCCGAAATCATCAGACCAGTGCATTGTGGTAATTGCACAGAGAGTGGTGGATGATCTTGGGCCTTGAACTCGGGATACATAATGCTGTTTCTGATTGAGATGACAGCCCCGATTTTGTTTTCCTTTCAGCGAAGTTGAAGGTCGTGCAGAGCATCAGAGGACAAGTACTCGGTAAGTCGCGGCGAAATAGCTGTAGGTACTCGGTAGTGAGGCAGGAAACTATCTCGCTACCTAGTTCGCTGGGTACATACTTTGGACTTGTCTTGGACTTGTACAGATGCTGTGTGCCGTTGCCAAGAAGTTAAATGACGAAATGACGACAATCATACGTCGCATCAAATGTCAACTTGAACTTCACACCAACAACCTCCTTCTGATCCCTCTGTCATCATCGTGTTGGCCTACGACGTCGCCAAGTCAAGGCATCAGATCACCCATGCCGTGAACTGCTTGTCTCGTTTACCATCATTCCGGTCTCCTCGCCTCAGCTTCTGAAGTTGCATCTGCTCGAAAAAGTCCTTGTCGCGTGCCTCTCTCGGTCGCCCCTCGATTGTTGAACTCTAGTAGAATCCCAGGATATCTGCAAAAAGCCTGCAGCACCCCAAATGATGGCTTCTCAAACTGCGGCAGACGATCCCTTGGTCTCGGCTCTGCCTCCCGCCACTGATTACATGACTTATTTGACATTGTTGGAGTATCAACTGACCCCTGGGAACCTTCCTACATTGAGCAGGCTCCTCAGCGACGATGACGGTAAACTCGCCGAGGAAATTGGATGGGACTTGTTAAAGCTCATTCTCCCTATGCTCAAGGACACGCCTGAAGAGGGCAATCGATGCCTAGAAATTGTCGCTCGAAGGGGCAATCCCCGCGAAGTCGTTGTCCGCGTCGCCGAAGAGCTAGAGAAGTTGAGTGACGCAGTCCCGGATTCAGACAATGAAGACGGGTTTGACCATGGACATGACCAAGATGAGCTTCCGACCTTTCCGGGCGAAGCACCTCGAGTCCACCTTGGACAGATGACCCTCCAAGGCATGCCGGAGCAGGAGAAGCCTGCCGAGATTCCTTCTGACAAAGGCACCGGCGAATCGAGCATCGCACAGCAAACAGTATCAGTCAAGGCTTTGAAATTGCACGCGCTGTTCAACATGCTGAGCATTCTCCACCCTAGAATCAAAACACAGTACCCCAGTCGCTTTCTTGCAACCTCCCTCCCGGCCGCCCTGGGCGCGTATCGGCAGGTTCCCATCTCGACCGTGACTACTTCCTCTTTTTTGAGCATGTTGGAAAAGATAGCTGGCAGGAAACGTCCTCCCCTGCCGCCCCGCACGAGCACTCAAGGCGAGGGACCGTCCTCAAGCAAACCAGCGCCGGATGTGCCTACGACGGCCGCTTCTTTACCGGATCCGGAGGCCAAGGCCGAAGAAGAAGATACCGGGGTCAATGAGCCTTCAGACGGTGAAAAGGCCATCATTTTCAGACTCCTCGACGCCGTCCTCCTCGAGGGTTTGGACGAATACATGTCCTCGCTCGCAACCCAAGAGCATCCCTCCATGTCCTGGACCGCTCGATTACGAGAGTACCGCGAGCCAAGGCGCATCGTGCCCGGCCGACCGGCAGAGATAGAGATCTGGCAGAAAACACCAGTACTGAAGGAACGAGACGCTCTTTTAGCCCAATTTTTCTCAATTAGCAAGCAGATGCAACTCGACGCTAGCCGCGAGATCACAAAACTCGTACATGAAGACGAGGACGAAGATCTCGAGAACCCATACCATGACAAAGATAATGCGCCTTCAGAGTACCCGACCATGCCATCTCAGATCCCGTTCCCCAGAGCCGGGGTGATCTTCCTCCACGCCTACCAGTCCTACCTAAATCCGTCCAATGCGGAACCGCTACTCACCACCTCCGAGCTCACAAAACTCATCGCTCACTCGTTTCCCCTCAGCGCAACTCCGTCCATTCCCCTGCCACCACTCCAAGACTCGCTGCTCTCTCTTCTGTACAAACAATCCCTCGCAGTCTCTGCCGCCCCTACGACACCACAGCCTTCTCCAGCCAAATTCCTCCTCTTGATAAGTACATTAACGCAACTCTTCACCATCACACCCTACCCGTCTCTGCGTGACTCGGCATATTATATTGCAACGAGACTGCTACACGCGTATCCCGAACCCTCCGTTCGTCTACAGATCATTGCGCAAACACTCCGGGGAGATACTCTGAGCACCAACTGGGCGGAGATTGAAGATGAGTTGGGGGATACCGAGCCGCCAGCGCCGGGGATTGATGAAGAGACTGGACTGACTAGGAGCACTTCAGCCTTGCAACCGCATCCGATTCCACTGGCACCACCACAACAATTAGGGCCGTTGAAGGCCGTGGGCGTGGATTGGTTGAAGGATGAATTTTCGGAGTGGATTCGTGCAAGAGCGCAAGGCCAGGCTGAAGAGGGGGCTGCGGTGGTCGGTGCCTTGGATCCTTCGGTAGTTCTCCTGACACCGGAAGATGCGAGCAGAGAGGAGACGGGCGAGGATAAGAAAGATGCAGCACCCTCTCTGATTGATCTGCTCTTCCCACCGGACATTGTCACACTGGCTCTCTCCACAACATCCTCCACGACAACATCGACCTCTCCAGGAGAATCATCCTTGGAGAGATTGCCAGAATTTCTCCTCTCGATCCCTTTCTACATTTCAACCCTCAACCTCATTTGCATCGTGCTCCCGCATCTACCTTTGTCTCAACATCCAACTTCAGCGCTAAAATCCCGCATCGCGGCGCATCTCTCGTGCCTTGACAATTCGTCGAAATTTTTGCTTGGGCTGCTTCACCATGCTCAGTCGTCGTCGATTTCCGCTGCTGCTGCTGCTGCATCTGGAGAAGCAGGAATGCAGGGAGGGGAAGGAGGCGGTGACAACAAGCATGAAGGGTTCCTGGAGGAGTCGCGGGCTGATATCTTTGCCTTGGAGGATGCCTGTGTCAGGGCCACGGGGGCGTGGAAGAATGTGCACAACGAATGATGATGACGGGGATGAAAGGGTCACTTGCCGTCATTGTCTGTCCAATATGTATGTAACAAATATACCAGCGGCCCCCGTTTCGGATACTGGCAGGGACAGTGAGTGACGGGTCAAGGAACAGGCCAAGTGAGTAAGTAGGCAGAGGCAGGCAGAGGCAGGCAGAGGCAGGCAGAGGCAGGCAGGCAGGCAAGAGAACGAGACAACACACAAGACGAGTCGAGGACAGATATCTATCTCCATATGCCTTCAAAAGGAAAAAGGAGACAGAACAGAGAGCTATTGGGTCATAGTGCGCACTCACTCACTCAACCCACCCCGAGCCCGCGATCGCGACCGAGATCGAGAACAAGACACAAAACGAACCAAAAAAAAGGGACCGAGTCTAACTATCTATCTCTCTGTGGGCTCGAGAAGGAAGCTGGAGTTAGTTATTTGTTTTACACCATTAATGCACCAAGCGCTCAAATCACTCAATAACCGAGTCAAGCGGTCTGCCTCGAAGGGGGGATGATATTCATCCGAGATGGACGTTCTTTAATTTTCTTGATCTTGTTTTGGGGGTTTAAAATTGAATTGTCGGCTCTCTGCCTTCGACGAGGTCTGAGTATCCCTGCAGAATCTTCAGCCCTCGTCAGGTAGCTCTCTATCACCCTCGACTTCTCGAAACTAAGTATGTAATCTTCTGCTCTCCCGGCTGGCGTTCTGTAGGTATGTATGTTGGAAGAAAGATGCAAAGCACACCAAAACAACAGAGTGCGGCAAGAATCAACCGTCCAAGCAAAACGAAAAAAAAAGCCAAGGGCTAGACAGTCCTTCCTCGGAAGAACAAGAACAAGTCCTGCATGGAAAGGGCAGAGTCCAACCCAAGGTGTCTAGTTCGCCCAGTCTATAACTTCCGTTGACGCTCATCATTCCAAGGAAATCATAACAGTGAACCCGTTGTGCTGTTGGTCTCGGCCCCACATCCAGAGCAGCTTGGAGGTCGAAGTCGGAGGCAAAACTTGTCCTGGGGCCCAAGAGGGACGGACCAAGAGACTCGCGGAATGATTCGAGAACAGTTGGCCAGACACTTGTTCATGTGACGACCCTTTTTCCTCCGAGGGCGCGGAAAGTCATGGAAACCCCACATTGTTAAATCCAACCCCACGACTAAGTCGTTGAAGGGAGACCACGTGAACATGTGAACCTTCCGATTCTTTCCAGGTCGCCCCTCCCGATCTTCGAACCAAAATTGGGGGAAAATCCGTCCGGAGGGCTCACATCTCTCCCCGGTCACGGTTTTGTGTTTTGGTTTGGTTTTCATATGCGGATCATACATCCTCCCCGCGTAATTCATCCCGCCTGTTCCGATGATTCCTCCCCCCGATCGTTTGGTATACGGTGTCATTTCGGCACAGGATTGCGAAGCCGAAGCTCGCCTTGCTTATCGGACGTCGGCTGCATTGCACCTCTCCGATCAGCTGCACGGCACCCGATCTTTTACCAAGGTGTCTCGAAGTCATCGATTTATTGTTGGTGTTTACGACCAGACATCTTCCTGGTACACTCCGCTGCTGCGCATGCTCTTGACCACTTGTTCGGCCTTCTTCTCGTCCACTCCCCGTTCGGCAGCAATGATCTGACCGAGGACTTCGTTAACTTCTCGGGCCATGTGGGCTGCATCACCACAGACGTAGAAGTTGGCCTTCTGCTGCAGGAGTTCATTGACCAGTTTCCCGTTTTCTTTCAGATGGTGCTGCACGTAAACCTTCTTGGCGGTCTCGCGAGAGAATGCGTTGAACACAATCAACTTGTCGCCCAAAATCTTCTTGTATTCCTGTAGTCATCCGTTAGCATCATAGCGCATGACTCAAGACTCTTTAAAATGTGTGAACTTACCTCCCATTCCTCCTTGTAAAGCCAGTCTTCGGTCGAGCGACGGCAACCGTAGAAGAGGACTGTGTGTCCGACATCTTCACCTCTCTTGGCTTGCTCTGCACGTTCTTGCACGAAACCTCGGAAAGGAGCAACACCAGTACCGGGACCGACCATGATGATGGGTTTGCTGGGGTTAGATGGTAACTTGAAGTTGGAGTGACGAACATGAACCGGAACATGGATACCGTCGTACTTGTTGCGGGGCCCCGTAATGGCGTAGGTCAGGCCGTGAGGTGATGGATCAGGGTCTCCGTTTTGCATTTCCTTCAAAGCCAAAAGATAGTTGGTAGTGACACCTTTGACGACGTGGCCAGCACCGGGAACGCGAATGGATTCCACCACAGCGGTAATGGAAATCTTCTGCGGCTGAACGAGGGAAGAGGAAGAGATGGAGTAGTAACGAGGCTGCAACTTGTTCAGGCCCTCAACCAAGCAAGAGAAGGGGACGGCAGACCAAGGTCCCGGGTGGACAGCCGAGACAGCCTGGGCAATGTTCAACATCTGCGAGGCAACCTTTTCCTTGAAGTAGTCGGCATCGGAGCCCAGTTTCGTCATTTCCTTCTTGGCCTCCTCGTTGGGAGCAAAGGCCGCTAGGGTAGCCAAGAACTGACGAGAAACGGGAGCGCAGATTTCCATGTGGTAGCGAACGGCGGCATCGTAGGTCGTTGGGGTCGGAAAAGGGACCTTGGCCGTAGGGTCCATCCCCTTCATGCTGATGACGGTGTGTCTCTTCTCTTCCAGGCCAAAGGTCTTCATCAAGCGATCCACTTCCAAGCCTGCGTTTGTGGGCCAGACTGCGATGTGGTCGCCGGTGGTGTAAGAGATGCCGGAACTAGACACGTCAATCTCGCAATGGAGGCAGTTTCGATCTTTGACGGTGAACAACTCTCTGGATTCGGCAATCGGGGCAATGAAGGGGTTGTGAGCATTGTAGGGGCCCTTCTGGGCGCCTTCGAGATGGTTCTTGTTGGGCTCTCCCAGGTAGACAGTATCGCTTTCTGGGGAGAGATCTTCTCTCTCTTCCACGCTGAAGACTGGTTCGTAGATGGCTTCACGTTCTTCCAGACCCATTCTCTCGGCGAGGGCAGCCCACATGGGTTCTTTCCAGGCCAAAAAGTCTTCTTCCATGGTGCCAGCGCCGTCATCTCCTTCACCGGCAGCACCGATTCTTTCGGCGCCCAATTTGGTCAAGATCTTGTCCAAGTTGCGGACCATCGAGTTGTAGTGCTCGTAGGTATTGTTACCCAGACCAAACGCGACATATTTGAGGTTACCCAGCGGCTTATCTTCCGAGGCTTCGGAGAAGGAGGGAGGGTCTTGATTCATGAATTCCCAGAACTCGACTGCGTTGTCGGTGGGTTCACCTTCGCCATAGGTGGCCATGACGAAGAAGGCAACTTTGTCCTCGGGAAACTTGTCCAGGTTTTCGTAGTCGTAATCTTCCAGGTCAGCCGTCATTGTGCTCAGGCCAAATCGAGCGTGGCCCTCTTTTGCCAGTCGAGAAGCATAATCCTCGGCAGTACCGGTTTGGGAGCCGTAGAAGATGACGCAGTTTTTACCCGATTCCTCCATCTTCTCGAGAATATTGCGGGAACCCTTCTTGGAAGCGCTGCCATTGAGGGCAGATGTGGCATAGGGGTCCTTGGGGACGCCCCAATAGGTGCCTTTGGTGAAGTAGGCGATGCTGCCGAGGAGCAGCAAGACGAGGACAGCAATGTCCAGAGTGTCGACCTGAGCCATGGTGGGGATTTGTATGGGATGAGGCTCAGTGGACATGGGGAAAATGGGTCGGGGAATGGGTTCGAAAGTGCGAAAAGGGTTGATCTAAAGAAGCAGAGCGACACTGCTTATATACGAGCGCAGCCGCTCAGTGGTGAGCAATTGGACACCGTGGAGATACGGGCTGGAAGGGGCCTTGGGCACTGTTTGTGGCCTGATGTGGCCAAGATTACGGTGAGCAGATGGGCAGGGTGTGCAACTGGCCTGGGTGGCTCGGTGTCTTGGTGGGGTAGATGCCCTTCGGCTTCGCAGGCTGTCGGTTCCTTCTTTTTATTTTTTGCCTTGTGTGGGCTGGGCGTCGCGTTGCAGCTGCCAGCTACCGAGGACAGGAGAGGGCGAGAGCAGGGGCGGTTCGGAGGGAGGCCAATCAGTCGGTATGCTTGATGGCGGATGGGGCTAATGAGGCCTTCTCCGGGTGGTTCGTCGCCGCTCGAAATCGGAAGGCCTTCGACTGTATTCTTCTTGGGGGGTTTGGCGGGAAGCAGTGTCTTGTCTCTGAATTGAATACGCACAAAGGGGAACTGAGGGAAAAGTGAGAGGGAGGGCCTGCGGGTATTAAAAGGAGTCTGGGGGGACGAGGATCAAAGCAAAACTTGTCTGCCGGCAATTGGGAGAATCGGGAAAAGATAGAGGATCTGGGGTCTGGAGAAGTTTGGCTTTTTTTTTTTGGATGCAGCGGCAAAACGAGGTCGCGGAATTGTTTGGTGGCTTCGGGTGAAGAATCGCGGCTTTGTGCGAGAAAAGTGACGAGAGTAAGAGGCGCGGTGGCAGTTCGGCACCTTTAACGGTGGTGAATGGGCGACTGCCGGAAACAATAACAGTGCGGGAGGCGTCTTCGGAATTGGGAGTGACTGGTAGCAGCACGGGAGTACGTATAAGTGTGCGAGGTAATAGGTGCGCCTACGGTGCTAGCTGATACCTGAGAGCCTCGTGAGTCCCGCGCGGGTTTGGCTTGGGCTAGTGAGGCTTGGGGGGTGGGCGGGTTGTGAGGGACGGCAGTTGGCGTTTTTGGCTTCTTGGAGGACGACGACAACTCGAGAGGGGCATCAAGTTCCTTTTATTCCTTTTATTTCTATCCTCATCCACAGCCATGTACAAGTATGCTCACTGCCAAAGCCACTACCACTCCTAGCGATGCCTAACTGCGGCGTTTCCCATCGGCATCTGACTGTGAAAGCAGACAGAGCATGTTGTGCTTGTACTGGGTATGTGGGTTCATGTGGTGGCAACCGTTTCTTACCTGCGTTGGCCGCCGCCTGTCGCCCCCTGCCTCCCCTCTCTCTTATCCTCCCCCACATGCTACCTACCCCTACGAGTATACATACTCCCGATGGACCCCCAAACGCCCCGTCCAGCACCCTCAGGGTTTACCTAAGCTATCCCAACACAGTCAGCACAATATGAGAAGACTCCCTGATTGCGCATTCTCAGATGACGCTGATCAAACCCTGTAGCCGCCGCTGCTGTGGCAAGGGGAACCATATCCCGCACCGAGCCCAGCAAGCCAGGCAACCCTCAATCGTCCCCTCGTATATCGTCTTCGAATATTACGAGCCTATCGCACCCGGCTCGGACTACTCCGTCCCGCATCTACGAAGGAGTCAACCCCCCCAAAAATAACTTCGAAACATGACGAGAAATTGCGAATGATGCACATAATACGGGCATTGCCTCTGAAATCGACAGTCAATTTCATGGCCCAAAGCACAGAGGGAGAAAAAGGGAGCGAGCACCCTTTGGCGCCGGGGCGAGTCTGGCAGGACCGTGACAGAGATGAGTTGATTCTCCCCAACTCTCCCCTTTCAGTTGGCTTCCTAGCTTTGTTTCCATGGTGCACGATATCTATTGGTGTGCCTGGCTTGGAAACCGACTCGACGGTTAGAATCGTCAGGCTGGCGTCATCTGATTCGACCACATGTGCCCCATGCCAGCGAATCGCACAGTTGTAGCACATAGTTCCAGCCAATTTGTAGACAGTGACTGTCTTCTCGCAATCGTCCTACAACCCACGCTAAACGACAAAAAGGGCACTTGTAGAATGGCCATTGACCTCTTATTCTCATATGGCACTTCACTTGGTCTCATCTCGTACCTGTCCCCCGAGTTTGAGGGGGCCTTTGTTAACGTTGTCATGTGATTGGTGGGCATCCTTCGTTGTACCTCGTCTCCCCCGTCTCCTTTGTAGCGGGCGATTAAAATTCCAACTTCAACGACAACTCACTGCACATTTTTCCTCTACTTTCCCTTCATCCACGGCCTCTACACCTCGCGCTCCTCGGGTCCAGAAGCAATGACGCAGTCTCTGCCTTCTCTTCAACGTCGGCCAACACCGGCGCACAATGTTGCATAACCGTGAGTGCCAACTCGGAATTCTTCCGCTGCCCATCAAACAACCAACGCTCAATCCTCCCTCTCCACACGCTGCAAGATCTGCCCATTATCGATGCTCTGCGTCAAGATGAGCCCATGAGCCCATGAGCACATGACCCCCCGTTCTAACCGAGTCCAATGCTATCAGATGCTCAATCAGCTTCTTCCAACGAGCCCTCCATCTTTCCCCTCGATGGCCCCGGACCTGAACAGATTTCCCAACCCTTGCCCAATGGCCGTCCCCAACTGGCTCCCCCGATCCATACCAGAGATGCATCGGTGACAAGAGGCAGGCCTCAACAGCCTTTGGCTCAGCAATATCCTTCCGCTGCTTCGTCGCGCTCAGGCTCGGTGCAGCCCCAACCGCATGGCTCAGAATCAAGTGTGAGCTCAAGAGGTGGTCCCGCAGTCGACACCGCCCTGCAAAGGCGAACGTCAAACAGTTATGGCCATCACCGCCAGACATCCGTTATACATGGCCTGCAGCACTCGAGAAGCCCTAGCTTCAATTCTCCCTCAACGGCAAGCCCTCTGACCCCCGATTCTCTACTGAGCGCCCCGAGCTATGGAAGATATCCGAATGCGAACCGACGCGGCCAGTATTCTAGCACTGAGAGTACCTCGACCTACACCAGCCCAGTGTCTCCATATCTAGGTCATACCCAAGGGCATTCAATCGATTCTCTGATTGATGGCGGTGCCTCGGTGCAAGAGCCTTCTTCCTCCTCGCAGCACAGGAGGCGCAAGGACCCGTCCAGAACAAGACGGGGCCACCCGGGCCATGCATATCGCTCGTCCAGCATTCATCAGCAACCGGAACCGCGCACCCCAGGTGAATACGCCCTCCACCATCTTTTCCATGCATTTGTGCTGCGGGCCGATCAGAGAATCAATCACTGCCTTACCCTTTTGGATACTGCTCTTACGCCGGTCGAGCAAGCCTGTGGGCCGGGCGTTGATGCCGGGTTTGACCAATTGATAGCTTCGCTTGGGCACATATCTCGTCAAGGTCCGAAACCTTTGGTGGATAGTTTGATGCTCTGGCGGAAGGGTAAGGGCGACGCCGCGGGCAATTTGAAGAAGCAGCTGGTGCAGCAGAGCCTGCAAATGGGCCTCACCAATTCGTCTCTACCTCCTTCACTGCCCAGACGTCATACGGAACCTCTCCATGTTTCAGGGGACACGGGTCTCTCCCAAGCCGACGCTGGACAGGGCTCTTCCACAGAAGATGCTCTTACGCAGGAGAGTCAACTGGCAGATCTCCGTGCCTCGATATCAGTCTACATCCTTTGTCGAGTTCTGATTGCGATTTTTGAACAGAGCAGTCTGCCGGCAATAACCCAAGATTTGGCCAACAAACTTGAGGACATTTTGTTCACGCAGATGAGGGAGGTCGATCCCTCGCAGATCGTGTCATCCACCACTCGACTTGCCAATTGGAAGATCTATGGTGAGGTCCTGGGTCACATGAGTCGACTTGACTTTGTCAATGTCACGTTTCGTTTTACCCAGCAACTTGAACAGTGGCAGCTGGAGTTTTCCAAAAGTCCGGGGACCGCTAAAGCGAGAGAAATCGAATCTCGTCTCGAATTGCTCCTGCTGGGTATGCGCCATCTCCATATTTCTGTTACGAGAGAAGCTGCCTTTGGTGTCGCTGAATTCCTAAGAACCCTCGCCGCTCTGTTCTCCGACGCACATGGACCTCGCGTGAAGCAAGCATATTGCCAACTATTCGAGCGTTTGCTCACGGCAGTGGCAAGTAACCCGGAATGTTTTCAGACAGTGCCGAAATGGAAAGACTTTATAGAGATCGTCAACTCGCGCCTAGGGAATATGTTGGTCAAGGTCCGTCATTGGAATACTGGCTTTCCAGTGTCGATTTTGCTCATATGCGTTTCGCCGATTGATGTGTTCTCTGCACAGTGGCTTTCAATGATTTCCAATCTGGCCGGCAAACTCAAGGATCGCTCAACACGAGCTCTGGCTTTGCAAGCCATCTGTCAGCTGGTCTGGACGTACCTCACACGTGTTGGAGAAGCCACCCAAGTCAAATTGCGTCGGTTGGAAGACATCATCAAACTCGTAGTTCCACAAGGGAGGAAAACACACGTCGTCTCAGAGCCATCTACCGCCACTCCGTTGGTCCAGTTTATTAGAATCATTGGCTTTGCTGCTCAAGACCTCTGTTTTCGTTCAATCATCTTTCCCCTTCTCCATTATGACATGTTCCAAACGAGTCGAAACCTCAAGATTGAAAATATGGAGCCAGAACGAATGGTTATCGGCATACGAGCATTTCTCGCCGTCATGGCCGATTTGGAGAAAGATGGAACAAGCGGCCCGCCCTTCCCTGCTTTCACTGTTCAATCGCAGAATGTTGATGGTCTGCCAGCCTCGCCTATGAGCAGGAGGACGAGCCTGGGGATAGATTCACCACTTCGACCGCGATTTGAAGATGAGAATCCGTCCTCGCTGCCAGTCAATACTGCCATCTTGGATGAAAACGCCCGACAATACTATTTGCAGTTCTGCCAGATCTTGGGCAAGATCACAATTCTCTGCGACAACACCTTCGGCGGACAAGCTACGCT